GTCCATTAGCATTAGGCTAACTGATTTATAGCATGTGTCCTGGCTATGGCCATGGCTCGACTGCTCCTTGCCAACTCGACATCACTCAATAACATAATGACCATAACTTAATAAGTAACCTCCAATTTTTCTGAACGATTCAATCATTGAGCTTGACAACAAATTTAACAAACGAAGTCACTGTGGTTTGCACAGAGTGGTTTAATGTGAAATGGTACATGGTAGAGAAACTTACCACTCAGACGGTGATAAGAACCAGGGGTCACAATGTCTACAATGCAAATATAGTCTAACTTTATTCACTATCCTAAACGACCAGTGACGTTTTATAAAGTTGATAGCAGTAAAATAGAACTCAACATGAAAAAAACCAAACCCAAAGTTTTAGACCAAAAATGTGACACAAAACTCGCATAAATAAGAGGCATCAGGCAGCATAATTGTAACCATATTGGGTAATAATTCTGTGAGGTAGCTTTTAGTGCAATTACATGCTTCAGATGCTTAGTCCCTATCACCACCACTGTGAATAATTCTAACTTGGTAAATGTATCTATCTTATGACCCATTTCACATCCAACCACTTCCCCTTATGCTTTCAGTCAGCTTCAGTTTGAGTCACACTCTCCAAAGTGATGAAACCAGTAGTAGGTTTAGCTACGTCACACTCATTTGTAAACCAATCACAAAAAAGTGCTTTAGAGGAACACACAAGCAAACTGGACTTTTCGAATAATGGATGTCTGTAGAGCTTGAATGTATCTGTTAAGTAAAAATTATTCTCGGTCCATCCTCATGCTCAACCCCTGCGTCCTTGGTGACTCAGTGAAGAACATGAGTGCGAAGGTGGACTGTGAGCTTGCTGACCTAGACTGGCCCCTGCACACATTTACGCATGCACGCACATATGCGCACATACACACACACACACACAGGAAAGCGTGGCCATCTCCCTGCACTCACACACCCTTAGGCAGGATGCACCAGCCCTCCCAAGCCCTGAGCAGCCCTCCAGGGTCAGGCAGGGGTCGAGGAGAGAGAGCACTCCACCTCCAGAGAGCTCCAACAGCTCTCTTTCCCACACCACCACACCCAAGCAGCGCCACAGGTCTGAGACCAGTTCGCACACTTTCTCACACAGAAGTTTAGGGTGCAAATCTAAGCTGTGGACGCGGGCCACGGGTCATTGCCAAAGAATGAAAAAGTGTCCTACAGACTCACAGCCACTTAAAAGCCTTTACGGGACACCTTACGGGGTGTCAGAGTTAAGGTTCAAATCAAATTTACACAGTTTTCCCCCCTGACCCCAAATATCATCAACCAGCCATGACATTTCTAGTTCTTTAGTTTTGCACTGAAGCTACAGGACTATAAATATGATGCACAGCTGACAGTCGTAGCAGCCATCTTGTAGCCTGAATTTTATCCTTACTATTGCCCATTTTTATATATTTATTTATAAGTATGATAAGAGTAAGTGGTGGTTATAAGCTTTCATTACTACATTAGCCACAAAACTACAGTGCAAAATGAAAGAAGCAAGACTGGAAACACAAACATGTCTTGGCTAATCAACTTAATTTGGGGTAACAGGAAAATTGTGTAAACGATTATTTTCCTGAGCTATTGCTGATAATGGGCTATGAGCAAGTGGCGTGACCCCACATTTAGGCCTCACATGCATCTGTGCTGATTATACAGCATCCTTATCATCATGACGCCATCACCTAACACATAATGCACACTACAGCAGCACGGCACTGTATCAGTTTTCACTAAACTGAAACTGGTCCAGCAAAAGATTATATCTAAATAAGTGCAACAAATATGTTACATTCTGCTACACACAGCCATATACTGCCTAATTCTTGATTACCATAAACATGTTTATCAACAACAGCTACATTTAAGATTTATATGGCACTTTCAGTTTTACATTCAATGCAATGAAACCAAAATTGATCCTATGAATTCCACCACTAGACATGACAGCATGACAGAGCTCCCTCTACGTGTTCTGAGAGGTTGATCAATAGCCACAAATTTAGGTTGATATTGTATTGTAGGATGCTTTACCTGAGCATTTTCCTGCTTCAGTAATGCTATTTTTTTAAAGACATATAGCACTGAAAATCAGGAATTTGATATAAAACAAGCAGAGAAATATTAGCTAAACTCCTATGCTTTCCTGAACATAGGCACCAAACTATTGTCCTTTATCACCTCGAACATACTTGACCAACCAAGCCATGCTTGGTGTCTGAAGCGTTTTCATTTTGCAATGGAGTTACGAGGCTAAAGTGGCTAATAGTAACAGAAGGTTAGGTACACCAGTTATCATCATACAAATTGCCAAAACTAGCCATTTATTTGTCTCAAACAGTGTGGAGGCGTTAAGTAATCTTAAATAAACATGTTTATGTGGTTTCTGACAACGTATGTACAGTATTCCCTGCTGAAAAACACCGCACAGTCCAGCATGCATTCCATGTGGGTCTAAGCTTGTCTATGCTGGTCAATGCTGGTCTGGTGCTGATTTAGCTAGTCACCCAAAGAATACCAAAATGAACAGCACCCTGGCATCAAAACACATCTTGGGTTTTGATGGTTATCAGCTTATCAGCTTCCGTTGCTACTGACCAGCATTCAAAACACAACATTTGCTGGTTTTGCTGGTGACCAGCAATGCTGGTCTGTGCTGGTTTTTGTAGTAGGGTTATGCAAAGACACAAAAGTAGGAAGAAAATTTAGGTTTCAAAATAAATTGTACCACTGATTTTAGCTTTGTGAGATACTCTTGATCATGTTTATAGATAACTGTCACACACTATCAGAAACAACACAAGCAAGACAGTTTGAGATTTTAGATTATTTAAAACTAATCTGAGGCAAATGCGTGATGATTTACACATACAGTTTGCAAGATGCTAATTGGTGGAGTTTAGGCTTGGTAGTGAACAGTCCCAGTGTGAAACTAAAACAAACTATGGGAACATTAAATATGTCTTGGCTGTCCAACTACATTTGAGTTTTCTGTTATTCAGTAGAAGCAGTATCAATAAGTTAACCTCACATTTATGGTCTCTCCTTCTTCCATGTGTACCTGAAAATGTAGAAAAAGTGTTCATAGAAGGTGCCAAAAAGTTACCTATTAAAAACAATGATCACAGATGAGATCACTGATGACAGAATACTCTGACGATAGACAAATACTGTGACAATATTTGGACTAATATTGTCAAGGTGTTCACGACGGCTCAGGCATCTCTGTCTAGGGCTGGGAGTCGATCCCAAAGAGAGCTGACTAGTAAAGGAAAACTTACAATTTATAATTAAAAAAAGGCTTAATTAACTTCCCCAGTGTGAAACATCTACACACCCGAAGCTGACAGATGAAAATCATGCACTGAAGTTAATTTGGCTAGCACTAGCTCCCAAACTGCCTTGCTAAGGTCTAATAGGTCTGAGGTGGGAGAACACAAGGGCCTGTTTGCATCAGTATGCATTTTTGGTTATTGGATTACAATCACTTGAACACATGAAAAGGCAGGTGTAAACACCCCAGGACGCACTGCGAGCAGATAACAAATCGGATCACTCAAACCACATTCAGAGGTGGTCAGAGATGGATCTGACCGCATTTAGCCCAAGTGGCTGAAGTTATCCCAAACCAACAGCCTTGCTGCACTCTGGGCCACTGAAATGGTCCTAGCCAAGCTTCCTCAGTAATGAGGAAAAGTAACCAAAATGAAAACAGAAAGTATGTGTTGATGTGTTTTTCACACAGGAAAATAAAATCGGATTTCATCTGGTCAAACTGGGGGAGCATTTTAGTGAAAGGTGTAAATGGAATCCAGCCAAAGTTTATCCAGATACGATCCAAAACACATGTTAATGAAAGGTGTAAACAGGCTCCAAGTTACTATGACAGTATTCCCTGTTATTCATATAATCAAATAACAACAGTGTATTATTTACGTAATATTGTACTTCTTGTGTTGTCAAATCTCCTTCCCTGTGTTTCAATTATTGAAATCGAGAAAATGATGGCGTGGAATCGAATCTTGGAATCGATTTTCATCACTTGGAATCGGAATCGACTCTCGGAATCGAATGTCTGGAATCGAACAGCCTTATCTCTGTCTGTTAGAACAGACCCTCGTGGTCGTCATGGAAACCGCGTGCCACTAATTATTTTCCACTTCAAGACGCTCCGCGTGCGCTGGAACCGTCCAATAGGAGCGGCGCTTTGCACGAGCAGCGAGCTGCACGAATTCACATTTCGTTTTGTAAAAGCAGCGGAGCGGCGGGGCTGAGCGCGAGCCCCTGTTCTCCTGCCCCCACAAAACCCGCGAGGGAGACGAGGGAGGAGGAAGGACGGGCTGTGAATCTTTCTAAATGAGCAACAAGTCGGCCGCGTTCAAGGGGTCAGATCTCGCAGTGCTCAGGTGAGAGTCAGGCTAATTACATTCACAACAGAACCGAATCGCTCGCGAGCCGAAGCCAGAGGAGGATTTTTATTGATTTTTCTCCGCTCTGAACGAAGCGAATCTGTGCCAAAGACCTCAACAAACCCCCATTAGTACATGCACACACATACATGTCTGGTTAAAACACTCAAACAGGTTCAAATAGGCTGCAGCTTAAGGACAACATGTACCGCGCGCGGCTGAAGTGAAGCGAACGCTCCCTGTGCGATACATTTCGAAACTGTCCACAGACACTCACTCACTCACTCACGCAAGCGCGTCCTGCGAGCAGGAAAAACAAGCAGGCTTACGCACTTCGCAGCCTATCCTGGAATCTGCAGTTTGCTCACAGAGCCAGAAATCACCCTGAGCTCTGGAGAAGCTGCTCATATGATCCATTATCCAGCCCGCATGTCACGCCGGTTGCTGCTCTTCTTGCTCAAACGCGGCAAGATGGGCGAGAGAGAGAGAGAGAGAGATAGAAAGATAGAGCGAGATATGAGGAGAGAAGCAGCAGCGAGGGGGACTCACGTTGTTCCGCAGATCCTGCAGCGCCAGGCTCATCGTGCACAGAGCGAGCCGGGGAGAAGAAGCAGGGGAGGCGAGCTCTTCACTCACTCCGCCTCTGCAGGGGGCTTCACAGGGGCCGGCGGGCTAAGCCATGCCTTTACCAAAGCGCTGCTGCTACTGCTGAAAGACATTAGCATGGACGCCAGTACACTGTTACATCTCAACAGCACGAGCGTGCGGCACGACGACACTGCATTTGACTCGATACGTGCGGTAGAGAAGTGTTTACCTGGTCGCCTGACGTTGTTTAGAGGGCGGCGGGCATGATGGTCAAACACGGTGATCTTCCCCTCCGACTGACTGCGAGCGGCGCTCAGCAACATGCGCCGACGACTGTGGGAGATCGCTATCAGCTCCTCATTGCAGCCTATCCCTCTCCTCCCCCCGCCCATCTCTCTCTCGCTCTATCTCTCTCTCTCTCTGTCCCTCTCTCTTTAATTTCTCTCTTTCCTTTGATCTTCTCTCTCTCTCTCTCGCGCGCGCGCGCCCTTGCTTTCTCTTTTGCTCTGTCTACATTTTTTCTTGCCATTGAGCGCTCTCCTCTCCCTCTCTCTCTCTCTCTCTCTCTTTCTTTCTCTCTTTCTCTCTCTCTCGCCCCCCTCTCTTTCTGTCGCTCCTGCCCCCCTCCTTCTCTACATGCTCTCTCTTTCGCTCGCGCGCACGCCCTTGCTTTCCCCCTGTTTGCTCTTTATCTCTCGCGCGTGCCCGTTGCTCGGGGCATGAAATGACAGCATGCAACATGTGCATCAGGTGGGTCCCTCATAACGACCGCGCTTGTATGTGAGGTTACGACGAAGTTCAAGTTCACAAATATAAACACAATGTTAAGCCAATCTGAAAATGCCTGTTTGTGAAAGGTGAGGGAGAAGTGTTTAACTGGACAATTGTACGTCCTCTCCATGCCATGTTTTGTTGTTATTACGTAACACTTCATCAAGGGCTCAACGTAAATACTGACATCACCTATCTCCGCAGCGCTGGGCCCCACCCAGCTTCTGCATCCGTTAGAAGCGGCTGCAGCAAACTGTAGAGCTGGCCCTGGACCAGAAGCTAGATTAGTCTATATCAATTGGCTTTCATCCAAAACAAGGACACACTGATTGGGCTTGGATTCACTCAAGTAGTTTCACCGAATGAAGTGTTGTGTAAAAGTTCTGGGCCCTTATTCAGAAATGACCTCAGAGTTTCTCTGAGAAACCTCCTACATGACATTCAAACCATTTACATAAGAGATTTTTTAAGTACAGTGGCATAAAAACCTTGGGGGGTGGAGGGGGGATCCAAGGTGCACTAGCCTCATGGCACAGGGGAGCATGTGGCAACCAGGCCCCCTAAAATCTTTTTTGGGCCCCTCATATGGATACTTACTCAATTGTACACCCATGACATGAAGATCCAATTTCTTAACGTCATACCTCACCAATTAGCGTTCAACAACACTACGCAAGACAGTTTAGACATCTGTTTATCTCAGTCTTATTCATAATATATCTCATCCATGGCAATCATGTTTGAACGTATCCTTCACAACCTACAATATGATATAATCATCATTAATAAATGCAAATTAATATATGTAACTTTCTTATTGGCTAGCACTATGTCAGACATCTAAATATAACAGAACTGCTGCAATCCAAATAGGCACTAACAAACATTTAGGTAAACATTAGAACCAAGGGGTTCTAGAGCATGCTTTTAGACCATTTACCTGTTTAAGACATAGCTGTAGGGAGTAAACAGGCATATCACAGTCAAGTAAGTCTGGAAACCTGTAGAAATCTCCAAACAAACTGATCAATAATAAACTGCCAATAATAATAATTTAAAATAAAGGCCACTTGGTTTGACATTTTGTTTCCTAACACAGTTAACTCAATACATTTGAGTATGACACAGATGTCCAAATGCAGTTTGGGACCACTGTATGCGTTGTTATTTTTATTCATTTATTTACTTACTTAATTACTTTACTTACTGTAATGCAGTAATGTACAGTCCTGTATAGCCTGTATGACCTACGTACATTTTCGATTGGCTACCATTGCTCTATATTGTTAGATAATTCATTAACTAAGCCATCCGTCCCACATAATAAGAGCGCAGCCAGTTATGTTGTCATGGACAACCTGATTTGAACTCAAATCCTGGCAGTAGAGCCCCACTGTGCTAGTGATGTCTTTTAGTCAGCTGTTAGGCTTATAGTACCTGGCAACCACTAACGGTGGTCTGTCCAGGACAAGAATGGCACTTAAAAGTTATACATGTTGGTGTTGAGGAAACCAGCATAGACATAAGCACAGTGGATGCCTGTTGTTCTGTTCTAACCATCTTACTATGCAATCGATACCTGTCACTGCTTTTCTGATCACCAGCAGAGGACCTTTGTTCTGTGCATGACAGACCATTAGTAAAAGCTGCTGGTTTCTACACTTCAAAAATAGCTTTAACTATTGGGATACATACCTCAGTGAAGGGAGATGGTGCTTGAACACTTCATACTACAGCTCTAGGACATGCAAAAGAAGAGTATCAAAGTAGTGATCAGCCATTATCCCCATTAAGGGTGCTTTGGAGAGCTGTGGTATGCACTGAATTGCATCCACATTGTACTAATGTGGTGAAACCCTGACAGAACAAATAACAGAACAAACCGAAATGCATGCACGGAGATGTATTTCCAGAGATAGAGTACTGACGGGCCATTGGGGCCAGTGACAGGGGCATCTGACTGGGGGGATCTGGGGGGCCTTATAGATGGCCTAAACACATGAGATCATCCATCGCAGATGTAAATATTAGATGAAAAACTAGCTTTTGAATATATGCAGCTGACTAAATAAATAAAATATAAAAAGAATTTGTTGCACTTTACTGAAGGGCAGCGTTTAAAAGGTTATTTAACATAGCATAACAACTGACCTAAACCTTTATAGACAATATAACGGCTAATTCCAAAAAGAGTTAGTTGCCCTTGACATTGGTGGAAGGTGGAATGGAATCATATTTGACAAATGCTGCCCTTCAGAAATTGAAAATGTGTTCTCATGTCCCTGTATATATATGTACTATTTATCTCACTTTTGTTGGTGTGTGAGAGGCCTCCAAAGACATCTTACACTCTGTCCCTATGTAGAGTGCTTTAAGAATGACCGTGTTTAACTCACATGTTGTGGGTCAGGAGCACCATGTCATTGAGGTATATCAATGTTTCCAAGTCCTTGTCAAACACTCCGACACGGAGTACACTCTCAACTCACCTCATCAGCTAATTAATAAGCTCATGTATCAAAAAAGTGGGAGTGTTATGGCAGGGCAAAGCCTAAAATGAAGGGCCAGTGCAGGAGTACTCCAGAACCATAATTAGGAAACATTGACGCAGATAACTATGGAACCATGCCTCTATCTATATATGAATATATCTGTGTCTGTAATTATGCACCACATGGACTTTTGGAAACAGCTTAGGTTTCAAATTTCTAACATTAGTCAACTGTTGTAATCAACATAGATTTCGCATTGTTTGTAAATTCTTGTGAACTGAATAATAAAATGCCATTTCTAAGCTGAATCTGTTTGTCTTTCATTTGTATCAGTCAGTGGCTAGTCATCAGGTGTCTATGAACACCCCACTAAGTTTGCTATTCACTAAATGTTTAGCTAATAGGAACTATCCAAATCACAAAAAGCTTTGTAGCTTGCTGATATGTCCTATGATTTTTGTCCAACTTACATGGTTTAGTTGTTTGTTGAGCCTGTCTGTGGTACCATTAGTGTCACTAAGCTAGGTAAACAGACAATTTAGTTGACCAGTTAGTTAGACTGTGACCTCCTGAACAAAAGCAATATTGTTTAGTTTAGCTGTCACTGATGTTAGCAAACAGAAACGTACCGGTGCTGATTAATTGTGCTACCTTGTTAAAATGTCCTATTGTAGTGCATATTTAAGGGTAGAGCTCTACATAAAACTGTAGGCAGGATATTTTGGTCACAGCTTCTTATTCACCAGGTTCTTGTTTGAATTTTCCCATTCCACCTTAAATGGTGTAGCAGCTATGTTCTGGTGCCTCAGGTCACTGCGCACTCAGGCACCATTTAAGGTGGAATGGGAAAATTCAAACAAGAAGCTGGCAAATAGGAAGGACTACAGCCTCATCTAAATCACTGTGTCAGAATATGCTGCCAGCATTAAAACTACAGTTCAGATGTGTTGATCACCCTATCAAAAAAACACTCCATTCGGAGTGGGCCCTGCACAGACTTTGGACCATTGGGACCCCAGTCCGCCCTTTTGATGGCCTGGATCTGTAATGTTCTGCATGTGTTTGGCAAAGGGAATGTGATCCCCTCGAGATATTAAACATCATTCAACCATGTTCTCTGCGGTTGGTGCAGTTTATTGCACAACAGCTCTTTGTCATTGTTGCTTTATGCCATTAAGAGTGCTGCTTTCTTTTGCTTTCTGACCCCCTAGTTGCAGACGCATATCTGTGAGGATGTTGCACAGAACCCTGTCTATAGTGTGTACCTGAAGATCACCTTGTGCTTTGTAAATGGTAATGAAGTTGCTGCTGTCCAGATGGAGAGGCCCATCCACATCTCCCTGTCAGAATGCCAGTTTGGAAACTCTAGGAGAGCTGTTGAATGTCACACTAAGATTCTCAGCATTTGGTAATGGGATATAACTGGCACTATAGCTTTCTACACATCTCAGATCATAACAGACGTACAGTTTCCCTGTTAATATGGAAAGGGAAATGACCTATGGTCATTTCTGTGTTACGTGCAGTACAGTTTCACGAGTGAAAGCAAAAGGACAACCAAACCCTTAAAAATGCACAGTATGTCTTGGCTCATGTTGCTGCTAACTGAGAATACCAGTTCCACATACGAGTCAAACAAGCCAAACAAGATGGCTCCCTGCTGGGTGATGTGAAAAATGAAGTTACGCAAGTTTTTGTTCCATCATGAAACAGGAAGGCCATGGTTCCCAGCACATCCACAGAGGCATGTCCACAACCACTGAGCAGAGAACTTTGTGAGAGAAGAATTTCTGGTATGTCTTAGAATTTAACAGAATGTCACTAAGTGTGTGAATCACAGAGTCTTTGGCTGTGCTGCTGTTGTTGCTGGAGGACAGGACACTATCACACAAACTGGTTGGATTTCATACTACGTGTTAAACTTGTGAGTGCTCTAGATGTAAGACAAATAATTCCCATGAATTTTAACAGAGGTTGGAGTAATGAGATTTAGTTGTACAAGCATATTTGTGTTGTTAACATAGTAAAGTCATCTGCACTCTAAATATAAAGGTTTCTGAGTGGTTATCAGAAACCTTCCAATAACCACTATTCTGCGGTGTTTAAAGGGGTACTCTGGCCAAAATGAAACATTTTACTGTTACTATATCTGTTGTAAACATGCAAGCTTTCCTCCTACAGTGGTTCCAGATTAAGGTCTCTGGAGTAAGGTTTTCTGATTTAAAGACTCGGGGCTGGGGGAGAAAGCCAGCTGACATTACTGCTGAATATTACG